TGCTGCTGCTGCTGCTGCTGCTAGAGAGCATTGTCGGAATTTTCATTCCTGCGTTTGGCATATCATTGCTTGCCATGTCTTAACTGCAATGTGTTAAAAATCCATTGCTATTGTATTGCTATCGTTAGCAAAGCCCTAGTTTCCTTGTCAGAGGCCGGCGCCGGCGGAGCGGAGCTCGGTACTGTGCGGCTCCAGCGCCGGGGTCTCGGCTGGGCTCTCGAAAGGCGGTGAAACCTGCGAAGTGTGTAAAAGATTTTATAAGACTTCAAGAATTTGGTTTCCAAGTTTCTTTCTTCTCGAAGTTACGAAATGTGCCTTAGGCATGTGCGACAGGGCTTGGCAATGGGGATGTTCCGACCCTGCAGGATGGGAGCTCGACGTAGCAGCACACATGGAGGCGGCACCATCTTAGCTTCGACTGCATGAATGGAGATTTTGAGCAGGTTCATTTGAAACATATGTTGTGAACTGCAGTTGTCTCGCCATGCACCAACCTTCGATACTGTGGCAACAGCAGGCAGCAAGGAGCCTCATGATGGCGGTCCTTCAAAGTGTCTGGCTCAGTGCTGTTCGGATATACGTGGTCCGGTTTCACTTAGTGCTCGATTTGTATTTGCGCTTTGGCACCGAGGCGAGAACGAGCACCGAACCGTTCTACAGCATGTTTTCGGTGGAGTTCGCTTCTTAGCCGCGCTCACTACCTGTTGAGCTTGGGGTGGTATGAACATCCATGGAGCTTGCTAGGACTGCTTGCGGATATCCAGAGCAAGAGCTGCACCGGCCTCGAGTATGAAAAAACTCTCGCGGCCAAGTTTTTTGTGGGCCCTTCCAGGTGGTGGAGTCAACGCTGCAGCTGGGGCTTTGCAGCAGGCACAGTCACGATCAGCCCAAGCAGCAGGCTGTACCCTACCACGGAAGGCATGCCTTCGACACGCAGAGAGCAGAGAGAGCAGATAGAGCAGAGAGAGAAGTCCAGCTTGATGACTGCTGCATCTGACTACTCAATGCGCAGGCAAGGCAGGGCAACTGACTGCCTCAGGGCCTGCGAGTCGGTGGAGCTCTCCTGGCCAGTTTTCTGATGGGCTGTCCTGCCGGCCTCACCTGCTTGAAAGTTCCTCAGGCTGCTAGGCCACTGGGACTTCACACGGCTCTTTCCCAATAGTAGAAGCTGCGAGGTGGCAGCACTCCTAGAAGGGCGACCAGACATTGGAGCGAGAGGGTGCAGGTTCGGCATATGGCCTTGCGAGTCTTCTGGCCCATTCTCTAGGTTCCAGAACATCACCATCTCACCCTCGTTCCACAGACGCAAACCACTCCGACGAAACGGTCTTCGCACGAACGGAACGCAAGTCACAGTAGAAGAAGGGAGAGCCTGAAAAAACACACACCAAGGACAGGTGTCACATGTCGATCCGGCGTAGTTCATAGACTTCAAAATGCGTAGCAGAGCCCGTCCATTCTGTGCATTTTGTGCATGGATGGTTTGCGCACCTCCATGGAAGCGCCGGTTCATAACTGTAGACGGCACTTCCAGCATCCGTCACTCGCCGTTAGAGGCACAGCACAAAGCGACGACGAGGGTGCAGACAGCTTATCACACCCTAAGAAGAGCACACAGAAAACGCTTTCTGCCAGGCAGGTTCTTGGCGACCTTGGACTGGGATTTTCGTTGCGTCGGCGCCTGATTGCACAGTTACATTTCGTGTGCAGAAGGCTGCCATGCAGAAGGTGTTCTCGCATGCAAGGTTCGGTTCTGCAAGGTGTCTGCGTTTCCCTGCAGCGTCGGTTCACGTAGATCGGTAGATGGGTGGCTGCACAAAACGTGCGGCTTAGCCCGAACCTTCTGGATACCAGATGGACATGTGACATTGAACGGGGCCGATGGGGAAGTCAATGCCCATCAATTTTGTTTTGTTCCGCCCACTTTTTGCGGCACTTCTTCTGTTCTTGCTGAATCTGCTGCACGGGGAGGTGTTGTTAGTGGATCCTGACACAGACTTGGCTCTCTATGTCAATGGCCAGGAGTACTTCCCAGACGCTTCAGTCCCAGTGCTGCCCATGAATGGTGTGCGTAGGATCAATACTGGAGAGACAAATATTAGGGTCTACAGGACTGCCCGAGACCTTACAACTGGCGACTTGCTGGCGCTGCACGTCAACACGAGGCGATCGTCTGTAATCAATGTGACAGATGCACTCGGGCGGAAGATTGAGTATCCCGCTCCGGTGGGGATTGCCGTTACTGGCGAGTACGGCACAATGAGCACGGATGCCTTCAAGTGTTTCACGCAGAAGGAGGCTGATGATGATGTCAGAACGCCATTTCAGGAACTTGGGTTCAATGACTCGCACTGGCCTTTCGCATATGAACAAGCCGCAGATTGTTGCCCATGGCGAGACCGTTTGATGGCCTGGAACCGGATAGGGGCTAAATGGATCGGACTGAACCCTGCCTTCTACGGTGGCAACATTTCAGGACCCCGGCAAATGTTCTGCAGATACCGAGTACCTGGAGACACACTCGTCAGTCGGTTGCCTGTAGAAGAGACACAGAGTTCCTCCGCAACAGCCCCGCAAGTTGAGATAGTCACAGTTTCTGTGTCTGTTTCCTTGTCGAAGATCGAAGTGCTGGTTGACCGCGTGGCCAACGTGTATTGCCTCCTGACCTTGTTAGACACCGGTTGCTTTTTCACACCGAAATTTGCAGTAGTTTTCTGTAGCAGCTGCCAGTTCAGCCGCGAGGTGGGGTGATCGATGGGAGGTACGTGTTGCGCGTCCCCACTCATAACGAGCTGAAGAGCTGGGGCATCCCCATGCTAGATGTTCAAGGATCTGCGTTTGGTTATGAGACCATCGGCAACACTGAGTTTACCAGAGAGGACATCGACCATCCTGCGATGGAGCGTCATATTGTGCTTGATCTGGACGAGTGTGAGCAAATTTGCTCTAGTATTCCTGAGTGTGCAGCCTTGACATACTACTTCGTTGGTGTGGACTTCATTACTGGCACCAATTGTAAACTCATGAATGCCACCTTCAATGCTTCATTGAGGCTTGAAGAAAGCCAATCATCCGAATTTCAGCTTCGTCAAAGAGTAGTTGTTCCTCAGATCAGCATCCTAACCTACGCTGGCATGCTACTTCCGGGAACGTTGTACAACACTTATTGCGCCTCGGTGTCATTTCGGTCTCCATTGGTTGTTACCGGTTTTGTGATCACGTGAGGGGATCAAGGCAGTAATAGTACATGCATATGTCGCACCAGCACTGAAGCCTGGACAGCCCAGGCAGTGCAGAAGATCCGGTCACTGGGGAGCACATGAATCTTTCCGCTGTTGCAGCAACCCTTGTCACAGAGCGAACACAGGGTTGCACAGACTGTGGGAGCACAGACCCCCCGGCCGTGCAGATGCTGGGAGGCTGGGCGAAGAAGGATTCGGTGGGGATCGTCGCGGTCGCGAGCAGATCCGGTCGCATCTTCTGCTTCGCCCGGGAGCACCCGACAGGCAGCGCTTTCGCACAGATAGAGGCGCAGGAAATTCAGGATGCAGGCTTCTCGAACCTGGCAACGGTTGGAGGCCAGACCCTTGCCGTGATCATCACAGGCTTGAGCCCGGAGATACAATACCAGATCACTTGCGTCGCAGAGGCGGATGGGGGCCTCCTTAGCGTACAGGATCAGATCGACTCCACCCGCCGACTGCTAAACACCTCATCTACGGAGGTCGCGGTCTCAGCAGGGCCCAGCTAACCCGTCAGCGGCAGTGGCCCGATCAGAAGCTGCGGAGCTAGAAGTGAAGGAGCATGTGCCGAACTGGTGACCCCCATACCTGGTACAAAGCGCCAGAAGCTAGTAGAGTTAGCAAAGGCTGCGACGGCAAAGTGTAGAACTGGAAGAGATATCGACACTGAGTAGCAAGCAGCACAAGCCGTTCAGCCCAATGGCCACAAATCGGCATTCGCAAGTCCCAGATCATGCCCGGGAAGCCTGCGTTGCCAAAATTCTTGAAGCCCGCAGATGTCCCAACCCTGGAAACCCTTGGAAGCCCCGACAAAAAGAGGTGCTTACACTTGTCTTTGAGGGTGGGGACTTTGACAAGCTGTGCCCTTGCGAGACAAACAAGACTTGATCGATAGGCCTGAGCACTGCGAGCGAAGCGTTCTCAACCCTGAATGCCATAAATGCCAATAGGACAGCCGTACATCCTATACTTGCCTGACGGGGGCATCGAGGATGGCGGGCAGGGCAGGAGAAGGAGACCGAGCAACAGCAGGAGCGGGACAAGAGGGAGGATCAGGAGCGTGTTAGCAAATACTCGCCGAAGTAGTACTCACAAAGGCTTGCGAAATGGTCCTCTGCCTTTACAGGGGGAGTACGAGCATACACAGCATGTGGACGGGCGGACAGTGCAGAAACCTGCATACAGCAACCGGAGCTGGTGTGAGCTGCAGGTCACCATCAACAGCATGGAGATCACGCGCCAGGAGTCATTAGCCAATGAGATGTTCGACGCGATGACAGTGAGCAGTCAAGTAACACGGCTTGGCTATATGTGGTGCCAGGTGTTCCCGCAGGAGAACATGATCTTATATGGTGTTCCCGAGGTTGACGAACTTGAGAAAATTGGACTTCGCGCCAAAGTTTTCGATTTGCAGCAAGATGCCCAGTTGGAGTTTGACGGGTTGGACAAAAACAGTTCCCATGAGGTTTGGTGCACCGCGAGATATGATGATTTTCGAAACGAGACAGATGCAGATTTGATTATAACGCCTTACCCCATCGCCATAATTCGATCTGCCGTGCTCGATTACAATTCCATCTCTCTCACGGTTAGCCTCAGCAAGAGTCCGGCTCATCTCTTTTGCGATGCGCTTCCATGGGCTTTGAGGCCAACCACGGAGAGACCTTCGGCTCCAAACGTGGATCAATTAGCAGCCTCCCCATACAACACGGTGCTTTTCCTTGATGGGGAAAGTGGGACTATCACGATGGAGATCGCACCAGTGGTCTCTGGGTTTCGCTATGATATCTACTGCTATGCAGAGTTTTATCGGCCTCCGCCACCGCCAGGGGCCATTGCACCACCCAGGCAGGGAATGAGTATATTCGACATCATCGAGACAAGGTATGGCATTCACATGCCCGGACCGCTGTTCGACGAGTTGGGTTGGGAGTGTGTCTCTGGTCGTGCCTGTAGCGTTGATCATATCCTCGGCATTGGACTCACTGAGACTGACCAACTCATGGTTCGAGCAGATGCTTGCCCGGGACGCTGCCGTTGCGCAGGCGTTGTGGATGCAAATCGCAAAGGAGGCTTTTGCTCAGAGATTTCCCAGGATCCTCTTGTCGTGAATGGTGTTGGGATTGAGGACAAGCAGGATCCTCGGGGAGCTTGGTGCTATGTGCGTGCTGGCACTTGCGAGGATGAGGAGCCGTCCGCTGTCTTTCCGAATATGATCTTGTCCTACAAGGTCTGCACATACAACTTGCCAGTTTCAGAGAATCAAGGCGCACCGGGGTTCCCAAACGGAGGATTGGCATCCGTTCGCCGACACAGCAGTGGCCGAGCTTTCGACTTCAGTTTGGAGCGTTTGATAGTTCCTGGTCGAAGCTATGACCTTTGTTGGTGCAATAGCACGGAGTCTTCCTGCAAACTTGGTGCTGATTTTCATGTCCGTATCGGCGCGCTGCACATGTCAGGGCCATCTTCCCAGCAGATGGCTGCCAACATGTCGTGCAGGGTTGGCTTGCCGTGCATCCTGAGTTTCTTTGATGGCCATGCTGTGGAAGATGGATCCCGCCTCGTGGCTTTGCCGGAGGACCCGCGTGGATGCCGCTGGGAACGCGCTTCATTGGCCGATGCGCCAGGCATACCCGACTTCCCGAACCTTGGAGTTTCTGAGACCTACAGAAGAAGCCAGCGCAGATACATCTTCGGCTCTGGCTCTGTGCCTTTAGTCATTCCTGGGGGCGTCTACAACCTGTGCTGGTGCGGTCCTCCCGCACGTACCTGGTCAATCGCACCGGGGCAGGACTACCGAATACCCAACGGCATTATTCCTCCGCCATGCCCAGATGTCAGAGCAGATAGCGGAGGTGAGTTTTTGACACCAGCAGGAAAGCTACTTGTGATAGGCCCTGTAGCCTTCGGCACCGTCTCCTGCCGTTTGGGCTCGGCGTGCGTGACGCCGTTGGTTCAGGCAAGGGCGCACTGGGACAACAGGGCTATGGGCGAGCTCGTAGAAGTCGCAGAACATTTTTCCTGGTTGGTAAGTGATCCCACAAAACAGACAAGCCCACAAGGTGCATGCAAACCAATCTGCCGGTGAGGGTAGGCATGACTGAATTACCAAGCCAAGCCGTTCTTTGCATGTGTCTTCTGTGCAGATGTATGTGTTGCAAGCTGCAAGCCCTGAGGGACTCGGACTCCAGGGGAGCGATCGCCTGGTGGCCGCCAGCCGGTGCGGAGAGGCGTCGCGCCCGCCGGCTGGCTGGAGTGATGGAGCAGCGAGTCTATCGGATCCCTGGGTTAGTGCAGGCTGGGCGGTCTCTGAAGGGTTTTCACCCCAGGAGCTTGAGGCATTCGGCATTCAGCCTTCCAGCATGCAGCTGAGTCGTGTTCATGGTTCCACGGGTTTCAATACGAGCAATCGTGGGGCCTATGGCTTCCCAAACTATGGCATGACCGTGCCACACGCCACGCCTGGATATTTCACATGGGGTGGACCGATCTGGGCATTCGCCGGAACCTACATTTTGTGTTGGTGTGGTGCCGAGGCGACCGTGGATGGATGTGAGTCGCCGAGGGACTTCCTTGCACCGGTAGGTTTAGTCGAAGTTTCCGGTCCCGGCGTTTTGCCCTTTGCAGCGCAGATGTTCACATGTGTGCGCCAACGACAATGCGAGCTGAGCAATCTGCAAGGGACGCAGCCGCCGACCAGCCGACTCATGGTTGCTGCTGCTGCCTGTGCAGGCCCAGCGGCAGAGGGATTCCCTCGACGAGGAATATCATTGCCGTCCGTGGAGGGCACAACCTACCTGTGGGGTTCAGAGCGTGTCATGGCACACCCACGCAAGTACTATTTGTGTTGGTGCTCTGTCATTAGCAACTGCGAAGGTTACCAGAGTTTCGAGAGCTATGCTGGGGTCCTGCAAGTGAAGGCACCGACGGCCTCCCCGACCCGGTTCTTTTGCCCGCTCTCATCCGCGTGCAATATTACCGGCATTTCTGGAGAAGGGCTCAACAACAGAGACACTGTCATGATCCTTGTGAAGTGCGGGGAAGCTGTCACCGACGCCGAGAACTTCCGAGATGGCTCGGTGTCGCTGGCAACCTTTGACGATGGAGGGACTTTCATGTTGCCGGCTGCTCAAAGAGCAGGTCTGTATCAAGTTTGCTGGTGCGCTGCTGAACAACTCTGCTTGAATGGCCGCGATTATGTGACTACGTTGGGCCGATTGGAAATCGGGGGACCGGAGGACTCGGTGACTTACCGTTGCTTTGAGTGGGAGCCTTGTGTCATTGAGGAGCTGGAAGGACGTTCGCTGTCAAACGGAGATCGTTTGCTCGTGGTTCCCGATGGTACCGATTGCTACACAGCCGGGCCGGAACTGCGACTTGCAAATTTTCCGAACAATGCAGCGTCCCTGCCTGCAACGGAGGGTGGGAGGCGGTTTTCCTGGGGAGAGGGCCTGGTGCGGGCCGACCCCGGGGTCTACGCGCTGTGCTGGTGCCATGCGCCGTACGCATTCAACGGAACCTGTTCTGAAGATGGCCCTTTCAACATTCCTGGCGGTGTTTTGCGGATTGGTGATAGCAAAGAGTTTCAGTATGTGACCCGGCCAGAGGACAATCCTCCCCGGGAAGGCGACCAGGGTGTGGCCTACTTGCTAGCCATTCCTCTTCCGCTGCTTTTCTTCGCCGCGATCTGTCTCGGCGTGAAAAAACTGATAGGACGCAAAATGAGAGAACAGGATGAGGCACCCAACCCGTGGGCCGTAAAGACCGACGACATCAGCTCCATGCAGCAGCAGCGATCCAAGCTCGGTGGAGAGGTGATGGAAGTGTCGCAAACCCGTTCCCAGATCCAGCGGCTGTCGGAGAACAGGGCCAGGCAGGAGAACCTTCCCGGACCAAGGGATGCGCTGCTGGCCTTGTACAACCTAGTTCTCAACCACTCCCGGCTCACCCGAAAGAAGCCGAAGCTGAAACGAATGGGCCCTCAACCGACATTGACGCCCTCAAAGAGTTTGCGCAGCTTGGCAACCAGCACGACAGACAATTCCGTAAGGCAAGGCCTTGAAGTCCGGCAGATGGATGACATCGTAAGCTCCGACGATGAAATCTTTGCAAGCAAAAAGCCAAAGGCACCACCGAAAACGGCACCAAAGCCGCCGAGTCTTGAGTTTCTAAGCGTGCATGACCCTCGTGTCCTGCACATTTTGGATCAAGATTCCAAAGAGCCCCACACCTTGGTGTCTTACGACCTCGACTAAGTCGAGCAGGCAGCCAGGAGTGCTGCGGGGAACGCCGAGTGTGGCTGTGGACTTCTTCGGCGTGTCGATCATAGGGTGCAGTAGACAGGGGATCCATTCAGTCTGCTCGTTTTCCAACCACCGCCAGGGCGGCCTGGGCAGATGCAAGGCAGCCTGCCTCCTGTGTTAACGAACCAAAGAAGCCAGCCCTTTTAAGCAATCCGTTGATAGCCAGGCGGAGCACGGCAGGTACTGTACTCTTTTTCGATGCCGGCTTCTCTTCCATGCTAAAGTTTCACCCAATGTTGGTGCTTGCATCGTGCAAGCTCTTGGGCAGTGCTGGTTACCATCAGACGGCATTCGCGACATGTACATATAGGTCAGGTGCAAACGACCACGCTGGATATCGCGCCCGAAGACGTGCAGCATGCATTTTCAGTGAATCTCGAGTTGCAAGGAACAAAGACAGATTGCTTAGCAGGTGTGTTGTGGTCTTTGGTTGTCATCAATCGGTGGACCTTTCTTTGTTGGTAAGGCCGGCTCTGAAGAGTGACAGAGAGCGATGAAACTGTGGATGAGGACAGCCAGAGTGACTTCAAAAGACCCAAACCGGTGCTCCCGGCAGTGAGACGCAGCTCCGGCACAGAGATGGAAAGAACTTGAGAAAGACATGGCCCGACGGGTTTCGAGAGAAAGGTCGGCAGTTGCGGCCTAAGGTCGGGCACAGGCCCTCGCGCAGCGACCCTAGCGGCCCTAGCTGAAGAGGGGTCGGGGCTGTAGTGAATCACACATCGTCTGTCTGCGGCTGCTTCATTCTCGCAGGCGTGAGAATCTTCACCGCAGGGTGAGGTTTGGCGCTCGCGAGGCAAGCGCCTGTTCACGCTTTGCCATGTGCACCCAGACCTCGTGATCCCTGGAGGGAGAGGCTGCTGACTCCACTGTGCCACTTGGTGCGAAATGGTGGCCTGAAGTTATAAGGCGATCGTGTCGTCTGTGTAATCCAGAAGCATCAATGATTAACCGCATGCGTGCGGCGAGCCATGTAACCGCGTACAGTGCATTTCTTGGCCTCTGTGCCGCTCGGACTTGACATTGCTGACAACAGTAGGCATCACAAGCAAGATGCAATCTTGGAATGTGCCCGCGACTGTGTGATCCCACAAGCACCCAGGAGTGACTATGTTGCCGATGTGCAGCCTCCAGACCGGGTCGCAGAGCAAGAAACTGTGCGACAGGTCGAGCAACAGGATCTACCGGATCCGGAGGATTTGATGCAAGCTGCGCGGCCCGCCTGTGCACTAATTGATGGTTCAAACGCTACCATGGCTGGCGCTCACATCGAAACTGGCTTTGACACAATGGTTGGCGAAGCTGCAGAAGCTCAGAGTGGCAGGGGCGAGGTCCGGGAAGATAATGAGGAGGCAGTCTTGCGGAAGGTGGCAGTTCTTGGTTCGGGCACAGAAGCGGAGGAGGTGCAGGATGTGCATTCAACCGAGCGGGGTCCCACGATTGAGCAGCACACTCCCGCAGCGGGAGAAGATGCCTCAGACAAGCAGCCCAGATCTTCAGTGCTGGATGCTGCAGAAGTCCATCAACCGCTCACTGATATGCCTGCTTCGGAAACGGCAGAATGTAATGTTAAGGCTCAAGACAATTATACACTGCCCGATGCAATTGACGTCATCTCTCCGGTGGAGTCGGAGCAGACCAGCGAGCCTGCTGAGCAGGCGGCACCGCTGGATAAAGGCAAGACCGACGACCTTGACTTTAAGCTCTCTCCGGAAGCAGACATAGGTTTCTTGGCATGTTGGTTAGGTTAAAGACTAAAGACTCTGCAAACGACAACCAGCAAGGCAGCTGTGGGCCTTGCTCCCTAGGTCACAGCAAGATTCTGGCTGCAGACGAGAGAGCAATGCCGAGGCGGGACTGACTCGTGCTTTCCTGTGTTCTCATAGCTTGCTGAAGGTTTTCTCCGGTAACTTCATGCGAGCAGCAAGGAGGGGTGGCCCTCGGAGTGCGAGGTTTGACCTGCATGAATCACTCGTACGACCCTTGCAGGAGCTGAGCCCTGCGATAAAGGTATCGTCGAACCCGAGGCCTGGCGGCTGAAAGCCAGTGGTCCCGTCCTCTCGGTGTTTGCCTCGAGGCTGAGCCTACCCTTGTGGTACCGATGCTGTCGAGGTGTCGTCGCAGGCATTCGGATCGCGCAAGCCGCTCGCTATGTTTGTTTTTGTAAGGCAATGCGAGCCGGACGAGTGGGCTCAGTGGGCTCACCAGAGAGAGGCAGAGGATATTTAACGCAAGAGCGAGCAAGCAGTAGAAAATACGAAATACTGTCTACCCACCCAGACTTGCATGCCGATGAGGCTGCTGCGGAGCCTCCAGAGTTTTTGCCACATCTTCGGCGATTAGCTGGACCTTTGTCTGTGCATTTCAGCTTCAAGGGCTTTTCTTGTTGCGAGTGCACGTATCACGTCTGACATGAGGACGAGTCTTCCTCCATTATGTGCCTTGGCACGCCTTGGGCAAGCGAGCTTGCAGCTGGGCTCCGTGCGGTGTGTGCAAGCAAAGGCCGGTGGCGATTGCACAGCTCCTGGTGGCGTAGGCCTGAGCGGCACAAGGCCACCTACAACCTGCCTTAGTGCTCTACTGACTCTACTCCTTACGTGGCCAAACAAGAGATTCACCACACGGTGCTCCATCTTCACCGAGCAGCATCCTCTTTGGAGCATCGCAGCTTGTCGACCTGTACCGTGTTCAAAGATAAGCTGCCCTTCAGCAGTGTCTATATGTTCTCCTTCGACCAGAGCCAGTAGAAACATTTGCTTCTCGCCTCACGGATTTCGGCCGATCATTCCGAAACGTGGCAACACCTCTGCTGACCACAGAGCCGGCGAAAGGGTAAGACTTAAGGTTGTCTCGAAGTTTCAACAAGTTCTTGTCAAGGTTGTGAGCGTTATTGGACAGTGATTTTGGGTTTTAGCTCGCAACTTGATGGCACTCCTGCCTCTGTGTCGACCTTCGCACCCTTCTTTGGCTGTCGGTGCATGCTGCAGGCTGTGCTTTTCGGTTAAATTCGCCAGTCGACACTGTCGCTGAAAGCATCGGGGCATCAAGTGCAAGGACGCTACCTGAGGCTACGTGTCGACTTGTGACAAGAAGCGGCTCGAAGGTCTGCCCTGACAAGAAAGCACGTTGGCATTTCACCCGAAGCTCTTGTTTCGTTTTTGCGGAATCTAGGTCACCTGGGAGTTGAAACTGCGGCGGATCTTCGCAGACTGGCAAAATAGTCAAGTCCGGGAGGAAGGCTCTTGAGATGCGCAGCGTCTTGCCATCCCACAACCCAGCTTTTGCGGAATTCTCCCTGTACTGGTCCATAGAAGAGAACAGTTCTGCTTTTCCTGTGCAATCGTTGAAGTTCTCCTGGCCTCATCATCAACGGCCCACTGAAGCCAGAGTTTTCGCAGTTAGCGAGTGAGTCTGTTATGCCACTGCGTTCTGGCACCTCTTTCTGGGTGACCATACCTGCCAAGGTGGATAACGCGTGCTGATCAATAATGGGTATAGAAGATTTGAGTGTCGATCTGTGCGCTCGCTGATCGGCTGTTGTGGCAGCAACCTCGCACGATCTTGCACAGGTTCCGCAGCTTCTTAAGGGATTGCAGCATCTTGAGTTCGGGCCACTTGGCTGCAAACCCCGGGGTGCTGTGTGCCGAGCTCTGTCTCGAAGCACACGTCGCGTGCTGAGGTGACGGTGTCCCGGACACCGCGTCAGCATCCAAGTCTTTGAGACCCATTTGCCTGGCTTTGCTTGCCAATGTTGCTCAGGAAGACCCCGAGCTCCACGCCAGTCGAGTCGCAGAGACTCGACCGTCAAGCCCTGAGTTGTCATCCGCGTATCCCAGAAGTGTCGGCTCGAGATGAGCGTCGTCGTCGTTTTGGGGTCGCCATCGAGTCGAGACGTCGAGACACTTTCAATGCCACGTGCACTTCTGCAGGCCGAACCCCACCGGGACTTTTCGTGTGCTCCTGAGTCTCGAGTATTGCGATAGGCGGTGCTGGAATGCTGTGCATCAGATGCGGCGCTCGTCGTCACTCACGTCCCTGCGAACTGTGTCTTGGAAGGTTAATTGGTAAAGGAGTTCTTGCACAAATGCTGCGCTGCCTGAACGGCAGGGAAGCAGGACTTTCTTGCATTCGAACTCCTTTACACCTGGCTTTGGCGACAGCGCAGAAGCTGCTGCGACGGAACATGGCAAGCACGGGCCCAAGACATCAAGTTCGTCTAGAGGCTACGAAGGAAGAACATTATTGAAAGTTGATAAAAGGCAGGTGCACAACAACCAGATGTGCCTCCGTTCAATCGAAGGCTGCCTCTTAGTCTCTGCCCAAGTCCCGTGATGCCTGGATCTCAGAAACTGTGAGAAATCCTGGCTACTGACATCTGAAGCTTGGTAGGATTGCCGTTCGGCCAGTGGAACTTTCTCCTCAGGACGCGTGCAACGGCCGACCTTCTGTATGTGCAGGCTTCGAGTCTACGAGAGGCGGGAGCCCAGATGAAATAAGAGCCTTGTCTTCTGAATTCCTTCAGGTTCAGCCGAGCAGGCATGCACAGGTATCGTGGTTGGCCCCAGGAAATGAAGGTTTGATTGAGGAACTCACTGTGGAAAGTTTTGACGTGTTGCAAGACTCCAAAGAAAGATAACGCAGATCAACTTAGACATAGATTATAGATCAACACAAAAGCTCAACGATGCATGGAAGTGCTCGCGACGGGAGAGATGTGAGATATTTCTGAGGGCAACATCCGACTCGAAGTCCTGTGTGATTTACAAAATTTACAATGAGCATCTGCCGTATCCTGTTGGAGCAGTCATCCGAGGCTATCAAGACTTCAACTCTTGATGAAACATGGCAAGAGCCTCGCATCTGTCTTGGGCTTAAAATTACAGTTTAAAAGCTTTCGCATGTTTTGTCAAGAAACCAACGGCAAATGCAACGGCCTTGCTGACCTGAGCGGCATTTTGTCCAATTCGGGCGGTCTTTCCAAAGATGTTTTGAGCCTATCGGAGCAAGTTGCGGCATGTAGCATGGAGCTTGCCTAGCAGTGTCCTCATCTCATCTCCTTACCAGTCTGGCGCTGTCAATTTCCTGTTCAAGTTCTTGATTCCTGACCTGCAGGTGCACATGACCAAAGATGGCTGGTTCAGGCCCCTAGCGTGCTGAAGTCATCTAGACGAGTTGCCGGGTGCAATTTTAAGAACATGTCAAGTGGCAGCCAGGGCCCTAGCCAGCGCTGCCCAGCAATGCATGGCTGCAGGCCGCTTGGCACACACCTTCGCATTTTGCCGACAGCATGTTGCGAGTTCCAGCCCAAAGCCCGTACGTGCGTTATTGGGCTATTCGTCTTCCTCGTGCCAAGCGGCGTCCGTCCGTGATTGAGCTACTGCTTCTGTTCGACATCACGACCTGCAGGCTGGAAATGTTGAGCGGCTAATCATGGTCTGCCAGCGAAGCCAAAGGCGTAGACGAGAATGCGCCGCTGCATCCTTGCACTTCGGCGGAGACGCTGAATTGGCCTGGAGCCCGAGTTGCGTGTTTCTGGGTCAGCACATGCGCTTGCGAGCAGCCTTGGACTGCTGAAGCTTGAGCTTGAACAGGCATGAGAACGGAAGTATCTAGGCAAGTGCAGGTTACTCTGGGTTGCTTCGAGCGCTCAAAACCCTGGCTGTGTACATGGGTACGCAGCTTTACGCTGGATGGGGGTTCACGGCTAACTCGACCCTCGCACTACGCCGGAAGCTCCGAAGATAGAGGAAAGTGTGGTGGCTGATGCCGCTTTCCGACCACTCCAGAGCCTGTTGGATTCACAAAGAGACCGTGAAGGAATTCGAGGTCTGAGGAAAGACTGCTACTGGCTAGCCAAGACGCGGGTTGTTTGATGGCTTTATGTGTAGTGGCTCTAGAGCTGACGTGGTGTGTGGCTTCCCGGGACAGATGGTGCATAAGACGCTGCGGCGGATGGCTGAGCAGGGCATGGTGTTTCTCTCAGGACTTCGTTTCTTTCAAAGGTTCGGGCGAAGTTCGGATTCTGACCATCGCACATCCTGGATATGAGAGTCCGTTGATATGAGTGACAGTCAGCATTAGGAAGTAGAAATACTAGTCTAGGGAACCGTCTCCCTGGGACTTCGTCAATAGTTGGCCGCCCAGTTACTTCAAGGCACTGCAGCCTCTTCTGTCTCGATTTTGCCTTGGAGCATGCGAGGTTCTGTGAGTGGGCTCTGGTCCCATTGGCCGAAGCTCTCGGCATCAGTGAGCAGGACGTTCTGCCAGCAGCCTAGAATGAGGCTTTGACGCACGTCACGGAGCTTGTGCACTGCTCAGAGCAAGTTGTTAAGAATTGCTCGTGTTCAAGTGCAACAGTCCGCTCTCCCTGAATTCCCGCAGCCGGCAAGGTTGGAAGATAGTTCTCGCAGTGCCTGTCTGCGGGTGGACTAGGGTTTCTTGCTCTTGGCGGTGTCTGGTTCGAGTCATCAGGTCTGGGGCAGAAATTCTGCGGCAGCCAGAGGTGTCCGCAATGGCCTCAGGTGGCAATAATGCAGACACGGTACACAACACTGCATGTTTGAACACTTGTGCAGTTTGATGTCTGGAAAGACAATGCCACAGCCCAGGCCTTGCTCCGATCTGGCCAGCGAGGCAGTCCGACTATTGCCCGGGACTTCGTGGTGCTGCTTCGCGGGCTTCTAATCTCAGGTCTGGACATTGTATTTGCGCGCCGGATGCTTGGATTTCGCTTCCATGTTCCCGTTGGAGATGTGCGCCGGATGCTGTAGCAGTGGAAGTGAAGGCTATGCCCTTGCTGGCCCTGCGCCTCGCGAGCCGTATAGGCAGCTTTGGTTGGCTGCAGTGTTGTCGGGATACCGCCTCCTCACAGGCATGAGGCGACAGGTCTTCCACAATAGGCTTACGGATACTTATATCGAACTTGCTTGCAGGAAAGGGTACTGGAATGCGCAGTCGATGCAGCGCTTTGCTGCAGAGCTCGGGCCTTATTTCTAATGCTGTTTTCGGAGGAGAATGCGCGTAGCCAGCTCCAAGGTCAGACATGTCAGCGGAACTCAGCCACCAGCTTGGCGCCTAATTACCCGACATTGGTGCTGTTGACGGTGCCGCCAGCTTGCTCTCGCCTGGGTGAGGTGCTTGCAGCGAATCTTCACCGGATGTGTCCAGTACCAAACCAGCATCCTTCGGGGAACGCAGGAGGGTAAGATGCAGACCTCTCAGTTCGCTTCTTCGAGATGTGATAGCTTAGCTTGGACTTTCTGATGTGCTTGTTCTGCGTTGCAGTTTGAAGGCGAGTAGCCATGTGAAGGTCGTCGCTGCGTTGAGAGATGACGGGCGAGTAAGGGTGATCTTGTTCGGCTTTGGCCGGTAATCGCACTCGAATATTCTCCAATGCCAACAAGCAGCAACCGAAACAGGTGTATTGCACGATGCATGAGTGAAGGGAGACCTTCACATCGACCGCCTCTAGAACTGGCTTGCGCTTACAAGAGATCTGCCACCACAAGCCGGAAAGGGTAATACAGTCATGCATCGGCATACACGTATCGCCGCACAGAAAACCGGTGGAGGCCTTGTAAGATCCCGCTGCTTCGCAAGGTCAACCTCGTGCTTCCGTTTAGCTCTGGTGGTCATTGCACAGCGCGCCGAATCCCAAGCCTAGGCTTGTCAGAGTATTCCAGAGCGGATGCGCGACTGTCGCGACATGTTACGACCATGACCCCTGAGGTTCACAGCGCCCCGTCTTTGACACCGCTGATGCGCGTCGCGGACTCGGACACTATCGGAGCGGTTGCAGCGGGTTTTGGAGATCTTCTTCCTTGGCCGACCGTGCCGAAAGTGCCGGCCATGGGCAGCGGTTTAATTCACACGGTGTCGCAGAGAAACTGAGGTGGCGATGCTTCTGCTGCGGCTAAGCTTGGCTCTCACGGGATGTCGTGGATGTCGTACCCTCCCCCCTCTCTTCCATCGTATGGGGCCCCGCTTCTTCGGCGGATTGAGCCTCCTCGAAGCATTTTCACAGACTTTTGGAGAGGCATCTGCCGTGGGGCATCAGACCTCGGAGTCGCAGCAAGACAGGCAAGGGCATTATGTGGATGATCTGTTGCGGATTTCGATGGTAGCTAAAGGTTCACGGTTTTGCTGAAGGTCGGGTACAACTCAATGCTGCGACAGAGTTGTTTGTTTTCAGTCGCTTCTCGGACGTTCGTTGGTCGCAGGCGAGGGTGTGAGGGTGTGTGTGCTCTTGGTCTTACATCCAGGGGCAGGCCACTTACGGAATTCCATGGTGGAGAACCAGCCTTGCCTGGTGAGGTCCTTCGAGCGCAGCCATCTGAAGCTCTTTGATGCCGAAGCACGCTCTCGAAGTCGTGTCGGACTCAGCACTTCATAGTGCCGATGTTATTTTCCGGTCTACGCCGAAGACGGTTTGCCATGTGCAAGGTTTAGTCTTTGAGCGGTCGGAGGGGACTTTACGAAGGGGTCGTGCGATGGTCTTCAGCAATACGGGCGCAAAGAATAAAGAATTGATGCCGGTGCGATCCCTCCTGGTACGGTTAAAAATTCTGGAAGGCCGGTCTCGCATCAGCAAGGCGGAAGTGTTCGGAATCATCACCATTCTCAGACCAGTCCGAGCAGTAGCAGCCGACGATGGCTCACTGTTCAGTTTCAGCTCAGAGCCTGAAACACCTTGACATGAGTGTGCCGGACATCTCCGGTTCATTCACAAACATCCTTAAAGCTTGGACATTGGAATGTTTCTTCTCGGAATCGCGGTGCCCGCTTCGCCGGCGTGTTGCGAAACTTGATTTAAAAGTCCCATTTGTACAGGAGGCCAACTCTGCACTTGTAAATTTCCGGACAGAGCGGTTCATTCGAAATGAATCGGGCAGCCCTCCGATTATGGCTGGGCGGCTTGTTAATGAAGTGGGCGGGTGTGTGAGACACAAGCTCATTGACATTCGTCAGAGCTTTGCAGTAGCGTTGGAGTTGTGATGCAGTGGCAAAAGACGGGAGATGCGGCTTTGTTTCCTGCTGCCCCCACGGAAGGTACCGGACAGCAGCGCTAGTACTAGTACAATGTGCCGGGAATTTAGAACAATTATTTTGCGGAGCAATCTAGGTAATCTTGGTCAATCTTGGTCAAAAGCAAGATTGCCAGCAATCTTGGTCACCTTGCCCCACTTGGCCCACTTGCTTGTCGACTTGTTTACCTTTTAGACCAAGACTGACCAAGATTGACCAAGCTTGCTGGCAGTCTTGCTACCCCCCCACGTGGGGCAAGTGGGGCAAGATTGCTTTGGCAGACTTGCTCAACTAATCGTTCTAAATTCCCGGCACACTGTACTGCTACTGCT